TTACCTATTTAGGAGGCGGTGGAAGGGGTGGGCAAAATATCCAAAGGGGGGTGGGCAAATTATCCGGGGCCCATTTGATATGGACTTCGGAAGCGAGTCACTGAGTCATTTGAGAGGTGGCTAAACTTCGGGAATGACTAGAGCTGCCCCGCGATCTCGTCGCAAGCTGCGCATGGTGTTTGCCTTCAGAACTGAGGAAACCGCCGCTGGACAGCTTCCTGACACACTTCCGCTTCACTACCCTAGTCAGCTACCTCTAGAACAACTGAAACCTACACATCACACGCAATCTATGGGATTACACATGGACGACATTCACACTCCGTCGGTGGCATCCGGCCCCGCCACAAACGGTGCCTCCAACGGCGTGCCCAAGCAAGAGATGTCTCTTGTGGAGCTCATAGCTGAGAAGCAGCGGATCGACAGCGAGCTGTCGGCTTTGAGTTCAGTTCTTGACTCTGTAAGTCGTGCGCGCTGCATACGTTTGTATGGCACCAGCTAATCTGTTTACCTACGTTTAGCACGGTGTCAACATGAGAACGAGCCTCACATCATTCGATGGATACCCTAGAGACGACATCGACATTGCACAGAGTACGTGCCCGGTCATATCGCGGTTGGATGTTGGTGTCTGACTAGGAGATACAGTACGCACGACTCGGGTTCGGATAATACACCTTCAGAACGACCTCAAGGCGTTGATGGCGAAGATCGAGATCGGATTGCATGACCATCACGCCGCGGCCCAAGCAGCCGCAGCGGCATCGGCCAGCAACCAGACCGCACACAGTGCATCGGCCCCAGCGAACGCAGACGCCTCGTCGGATCCGGCGCTGCAGGCACCCTTTGCGAAGGTCAACAGCGTGGTGCCTGAAAGCCCTGCGGACACGGCGGGCCTGAAAGCGGGAGACCAGATAGTCGTGTTCGGCGACGTCAATTGGATGAACCACGAGAAGCTGAGCAAGGTTGCCGAGGCAGTATCGCGGAACGAAGGGGTAAGTTGGGCTGCAGTAGTCGCGGCAACGTTGGAACATCTTGCTGACAAAGCAAACATAGCGATCGATATCGATTCGGGTGTCTCGAGCTGGGGATCAGGTAGAGCTGCAGCTGACGCCTAGGCGCAACTGGGGCGGGCGGGGTATGTTGGGCTGTCATCTGCTGCCACTGTGAAGAAAGGGCATCGTGGCATCGGCAGTGTGGAGCAAACATGGCGTGGTGGAATGCATGATACCCGGCCGAGTCTGGATGTACGAATGATGACAAGCGTGAAAAGTGACGATCCTGCTGCCTTGCCTGCCTTTTGGCAATCGTGCTTGGCGGACCTGGAATTTTCCTGAGCATAGTCACGTGCGCCCGCCGCTAAGCTGTTGTTCAGAGACCGCCCGCTCCAACAACAAATCTTCCGACCAACTCACTCCCACCGTCTGCCCCACGACAACCCACGAGCCTTCTGGTTCTCATCACATAATACCCTGCTGCAGGTGAGCTGCCCTTGAGCTTCTGCGAGCTCCTTCTCTTCTGTGCCAGCTTTTACGCCGGCGGCCTCAAAGAAAAGCTACTGACGGACCCCGCCGCGCAGTCCAAACAACCCTTACCAGCTTCACCCGCCAGACCAGAACACACACCATGGCCGACGCGCAGGCGCCCCCTACCTTCAAGCTCGTCCTCGTCGGTGACGGTGGTACCGGCAAGGTAAGTTCATGGCTGCCGCCGCATGCTCTCGCGCAGAACCTGCGCCCTTACGTCAGGCTGTCGCGAGAGCATCGCAAACTCGTTTGACTTCTGTCGCTAACTTTGTGCCTGCTTTTTAGACCACCTTCGTCAAGCGTCACTTGACGGGTGAGTTCGAGAAGAAGTACATTGCCACTCTGGGTGTCGAGGTTCACCCTCTTGGCTTCACCACCGTACGCATCTCTCCGGTGACGATTTTGTGCGAGCACAGACTTACGATTCAATAGAACCTGGGCGCTATCCAGTTCGATGTCTGGGACACCGCTGGCCAGGAGAAGTTCGGTGGTCTCCGTGATGGTTACTACATCAACGGCCAGTGCGGTATCATCATGTTCGATGTTACTTCCCGTATCACCTACAAGAACGTTCCCAACTGGCACCGTAAGTTTTCCCGGTCGCGGAAGCGGCGTTGAACACATACTCACAAATTCCGCAGGTGACCTCGTCCGTGTCTGCGAGAACATCCCCATCGTCCTCTGCGGCAACAAGGTCGACGTGAAGGAGCGTAAGGTCAAGGCCAAGACCATCACCTTCCACCGCAAGAAGAACCTCCAGTACTACGACATTTCCGCCAAGTCCAACTACAACTTCGAGAAGCCCTTCCTCTGGCTCGCCCGGAAGCTTGTCGGCAACCAGGCTCTGGTACGTGAAATCCGCTTGATTTGGTTTGAGAAGCTGCTAACACGAAAATCAAGGAATTCGTTGCTGCCCCTGCCCTCGCTCCCCCCGAGGTTCAGGTCGACCAGGCCGTCCTCGAGCAGTACCAGAAGGAGATGGAGGCTGCTTCCAACATGCCCCTGCCCGACGAGGAGGACGCCGACTTGTAAATTTGCTTTGCCACGAAGGGCTTGTCTCATGGACAGGAGCCAAAAGTTTTACGACGAATTGGACCCGCCTTACGCTATCCCTATGATATCCGGATAGCGTGCACACGGTACGACATCAGGAAGGCAGCAGTGGGTCGATGTACGGGTTTGCTTTGCTAGCGATTTCAAATTAGACAGTCTACACGAATTCGAGTTGACGAAACCGGCCCTCGGAGCTTGATCCACATGGCGCGCCGAGCCACAAACGTGATCCGTCGTTTCTCAGCGGCTGCGAGATACCGTCGGATCACCGGCAGTAGGTAGCTACAATTAGACCTTGCGTCTGTAGTAATCTAAGTCTTCAGACGCTGCTCATTGTTCGTTTGCAGGAATTGTTTTGATGCATCTGCTGACTTCCACCACTCTGACAATTCCTTCGAACGCCATAACACATGGTCAATGGCAGGAATGCTTAATCTCTCATCTTCTAGCGCTTCTACATATGAGTAGTTGGTATGTAATTTGTCTCCGGGCCTTGAGCGTGAGTCGGCAGATGGTCATTTTCCTTGCTGTGAAGAGGCTCCTGGGTGCTTATGCGTCTGCCTTGGACGCGGCCAATTTGCTGTAGGTTTAGAAGGAGCACATTTTCCTGTTCTAAAGTTGTAAGGAGGCTTGGAATACACTTTCGCCAAACAGCCAAGGTTTCAAACAATGAAGGCATTTCTCAGCTGCCTCCAGATCTACCTACCTACCTTGGAGCCCTTCTGATGCACAGTGCAAGCCAGTATGCGGAGACGTCGGGTCTATTTCACTAAAGAGAGATGTATGTACATTCTCACGTATGTATCGTGAGCATTGTGCAGAAGCCCATGTAATGTCCGTCACCGTTAAACGAGATTCACCGTGAAGCGAGATGGTGATACTTATACGGAGTAGAAGAAGAGATCCAGCTAAGATATATAGAGTCCATAAATACTCTAAGACCTTTTTATCTATGTCTAGAACTCGGGCTAAGAGCTGGGCAAGAAGTGCTCTGTAGGGACTGCTTGTATCGTCCCCTGTCTCGCTATACGGTGGATCTCGGTTCGCGATGACGGACGTTAGCAGATCCTAGTTGACTGACTCGCAATAGAGAGAGCAGCCATGTGGAGAGCGCTAGGGTCGGGAGCCAACTGCAACCCAGGTTCCTTTTTTGCGGCTAGGCTGTCATGTTCGAGTGCTAGGCTGCAGCGAGACGTGGAGCCTACAATGTTGCCTGTTTAGGCTGCAAGTACGGACGGATGTTGGAGCCTTCCAAATGCAACAGCCTTTTTGTGTAAGCAACACAGACGCGGCCAAGTTTTCTATCGGTTAGGAGCATTAGACCAGTGAGATTGTAAGGATGTCAAGAGCTGGTGAAGTCCCTCGAGGCTGAGTCAGGAAGATTCCGTCATCAAAGTCGGTATGCACTCTGAAAGCGGAGCCGGGACAATGGTCGGGCCGTAACCTTCCTAGATGCGGGCTTGACGTGAAGCTGCTGCCGTGCCCGCGAACAAAGCTTCAACCAGCAACCCCAGCGACGACAAAAGCGCGTTTAAAGGGCCGCCCGCCCACCGCTCACTACGTTTCTCGCGTCGCCTGCTCCACTCCTCTGACCGCAGCCAAGATCAACCACAATGGCCCTCTTCGGTTCAGCCAGCAGCGCGGCTGCTTCCAACCCTACCCAAGGCGACATCTCGAAGGACGTGACCGTCGCTAACCCCCCTTCGGATTCGATCAGCGAAATTTCTTTCTGCCCTACTCAGGACCTCCTCGCCGCCGCTTCGTGGGACTCGGAAGTTAGGATCTGGCAAATCGACAACGGAGGCAATAGTAATCCTGCGGCTTCGTTTAAGACTGACGGACCAGCTTTGAGTGTTGCATGGGCAAAGGTATGCGACCAGAATCATGGCGATCGAGGGAAATCGGTGGCGCAATCGCGTCGAGAGACCGCGCTAATATGTCATATCAACAGGACGGTTCATCACTTATTGCTGCAGGCGCGGACAAGCAGGCCAAAAGATTGGACCTAAATGGAACCCCTACACCTCAGGTCGTCGCTGTGCATGACGAGCCCATTCGCTGCGTCAGGACCACCCAAATCAGCGGCTCGAACGTCCTTGTCACTGGGTCTTGGGACAAGACGATCAAGTACTGGGATGTGCGCGCGTCGAACCAGACCCCCGCCATTACTGTCAACTGCCAGGAACGCATCTACACTATGGATATAAAGGAGCAGCTGCTGGTTGTCGGCACCGCAGATCGCTACATCAACATTATCAACCTGCAAAACCCCGGCACTTTTTACAAGACGCTCCAGAGCCCGCTGAAGTGGCAGACGAGGGTGGTTAGCTGCTTCACGGACGCGAGTGGCTTTGCAGTAGGAAGCATTGAGGGGCGATGCGCCATCCAGTACGTGGAGGAGAAGGATGCTTCGTAAGTGCTCAGCTATATTACGCCTACACTACGCGTACAAGGACTAACGCCTCATTCCAGGTCCAACTTCTCTTTCAAGTGCCACCGCCAGACGGACAACACGCAGCGCGATGTCGCCAAGGTCTACTCGGTCAACGCGATTTCTTTCCACCCGACACACGGTACCTTCAGCACGGCCGGCAGCGACGGCACCTTCCACTTCTGGGACAAGGACGCAAAGCACCGTCTGAAGGGCTATCCGGAAGTCGGCGGCGCCATCACCTCGACGGCGTTCAGCGCCTCCGGCAACATCTTCGCCTACGCCGTCTCGTACGACTGGAGCAAGGGCTTCTCGGCCAACAACCCCCAGATGCCAAACAAGATCATGCTGCACCCCGTCAACCCAGACGAATGCAAACCCAGGCCTGGCGGCAAGAAGAGGTAGAGCGGCTAAGCGTGGCAGCTTAGTCGATCGAGTAACCTTTATTTGTGCACGCTTGGGAGGGAAGAAGGAGAGAAGGAAAGCATCTGGGGCCGCGTGGCGGGAGGGCAAAGAGTGTTTCGAAGCTTCATTTTGGAGAGCGGACTTATGCATGCACGGTGTTCGAGGAGTTCAGCTTTGGGCGGATGGATAACGGATCAAGATTCAGGGAGAGGACACAGGGCAGATGGAGGGGACGAAAAAAGTTTCCAGGGAGGAGAGCGATGACGGTGAGGGCTGGTAATAACGTAGGCAATCAACATCATATACGTAGGCGGGATCAACGCTGTGTCCGAATGGGTGAAGCAAGAGATGAAGTGGAACTTAGGACGCTACTACCGCGCGTCTTTGAACCGCTGGATGGTGCTCTGTGGAATCAAGACGGATCTGTCCGGCAGATTGTTGCATAACTAGGTCGATGTCCTTTTAAAGATTACTGTTGCTGACTCGACCTTTTCTGTACTTGCTGATTATGGTAATGCAGATATGAGTTAGTTTTTCCTGAACAATTCCCTTTGCTTTCTTAGTATTTGCTCTTGCAAACATGTAGTAAACCCTTCCCTCCGTTCCCCAACCAAGCAATCTCAACCAAGCGGGCACGAAGTGCCAAAAACCAAACAGCAATTGAGGGTATCTCACAACGCACCATACACAACCGCCCACCAAGCAAGCACACCCACAAACTCCAAGCATTCCCACACCTCAAGCCCACCGGTGGCTCACCGATTTACGATCAACACATCGCTAAACCCCTTGCGCATCTTGGCCACGACCTCCCTCTCCCCCATGCCCAGCTCCGTACAAATCTCATCAAAGCAGTGCAGGCCATCCAAATACCTCGCGAGAGGCAGTTCGCGGCCGCCGACGCTGCCATCGCCCTCCTCACTTGGCACGTAGACGCTCTGGTGCTTGACGTCGCCGCCGCGATAGCGGATGCCATGCAAGTGGTCGAAGCCATCGTAGCGGGCCGTGGTGCCAGCGAGGGCGCCGGCCGACGTCGTGATGGCGTATTTATGCACGCGGTACAGGAAGCCTTTGATGACGCCGAAGGTGACCAGCCGGCGCACGTCAATGTGCGCCAACAGCGCCTGGTTCTCCATCACCCACGTCCGCAGCGTCACGCCCTGCCGCAGCGAGCTGTACAGCAGGATCAGCGTCTCGGCCGAGATGCTGGGCTGGTTGGGCGCCAGGATCAGGTTCGCGAAGCCCGCACTCGCTTGTGTGCTTATGGTCGAGGAGCGCTGCGGGCGCTGCGTCGGGCTGCCCGTCGTCGATGCTGCTGCTGTCGGCGGCGCGTACCGCACGCTGCCGGCGCTGGGGTTACGGCTATGGCCCCGGCCTAGCCCGGCCGCGGTGACGGGCTCGCCCGCTGCGTTCTCGGTCTTCGTTTCGGTGAGTGGGAAGATCGATGTCGCGTCCCCGACGGATGTGTCTAGGAAGCGTGGGATCCGGACGTAGCGTGCGCATTCGGCTATGGCTGCCTCGTCCATGAAGAAGTGCGCGATGAGTGGTGTGGGCGCGTACATGGCGCCGAACTGGAAGATGTCGAGTAGGATCACGCATTCGTAGTAGACCAGGTGCTGGACGGCCTTCCGTGTTAGGCTCAAGTCTGTGTCGGCGAGTTGTGATATGTACGAGACGGAATTGATACCGTCAATGAAGGGTAGGATGCGTGTGAGCGTGAGGTCCGAGGATAGCGTCGCGCAGCGGCTGCTGAAGGTGTGCGGGTTCATGCTGGACGGTGCGGTATACATCTCGAGATCGATGGTCAAGAGCGGAACGTGCCATGCGTGTACCGGAGCAGGAGGAAGGCGAGTCGGGAAGAGCTTGAGGTTTATGATATTGGAGTCATCTGCAGAAGTTAGCATCAGGTATGAAAATAGAGCAGAACTAATACCAGGAATGAACATACCAATCGGGAACATGCACTCGCAGTAGTTGTTCAGATCCTCCAATATCATCTCACAAAGTGCATACACCTTGCTCACCGGCCCCGATTCCTCAACATCCGTATCTTCAGTATCCAAGCTGAGCTTATCGAGGCCGAAAGACTCGATGCTCTCAGCCATCGAATCAGGCCTCTGCGACTTTTTCTGCCCTGCCTGTCCCTTCCCCATATCTCCAAAACCCAAGACATCGCCCGCCTCTTCTTTGCTCAAAAAGCTGCCCTGCTCTTCCAGATTGCGCAATAGTTTGCCCAGCTTGCGCACTACGCTGGCAAAGCTATTCCAATCCAGCAGGTCTTCCTCGACCACAAACGCGAAGTTGAATATGAATTGGTTGCGCTCATACTTGCTCTCGTCGTTGATGCACACTGGGTACCCGATGACGCGGTAGCGGTTGCAGCAGACGGTTACGAGGCGGTCGCAGAACTCCTGCCGTGGGATGACATATTCGGATATGCTGGAGAAATCGAAGAGAGGCTCGAACAGGGCGCATGGTTTGGTGGAAGGTATGATGGAACCATCGGGGACCTGATGGACGACTCGTGAACCTGGGGCGGTCAACTCTAGTCTGCAACTGGGGGCTGGGCTGTCGCTTACCTTTCTCTGGATGGAAGCGGGTGTAGAATATGGATTTGATCATGACTTTTCAATCAATGTACATGATCTTGGATGGGTTGACGGCATGATGTGACAGCTCCGACTCGCTAAGTCCGCAATCTCCGTCGGTGGGGCAAGAACCGACCATCTGGCAGGGATGAAGCACCAGCTACGTGGACCAAATTCACAAGACGAAACGACACACCATGGCAGTGATCCATGCTACTTTTACTGGAAGCTATAATACGCTGTCCTTGATGAAGTACAACCCTCCACGTGGAAACACAGTTTCCAGTCCCTGTACTCCGCACTCCAATCGCACGTAAGGTGCGCTGTCTTTTGAGGTATCCGCGCTTTCGTCATCTGCATGAACTTTTGTCCATCAAAACACTACAGCTTCAGGAAACCCGTTCGGTAAGCATTTACCGGTCCTTCTTGGGGACGCTGTCAGCGGTGGAGATCTCGTCGCCCATGCGGTTGTACTCGCGGCTGAGACCCTCGGCCTGCTTCTTCAGGTTCTCGATGTCGCGGTCCTTGGCCTCAAGCTCCTTCCTCAAGCGACCAATCTCGCCAGCATCACCAGCCTGGCCCAGGCCGGACTTGCCCTTGGCGGTGGAGTCACCCTTAAGGCTCTTGACCTCCTCCTCGAGGCGCAGGACGTCAAGAATCATGACGTAGGTACGGTTCAAGATGAGGGAGAGGAAGAGAGTGAAACCGCAGAGGTACATGTTGCGCTGAGAGTAGAACTTGCGAGCCTGGACTTCCATGCGCTCAGAGCCGCCCAGGACAGCGGTGCTGATGAAATCATCGTTAGCAGTGCTCTAGCAACTTGTTTGTTATTTGACTTACCCTCCACGCGTGGTGTCCTTGGAGGCCGCGGCAAGCTCGATCTGCACACGGTAGACGCGGTTGACGCTGTCAATGAAGAGAATGAGTATGAATATGAACGTGATCTAGATGCACGGTTAGCCCAATGCCAATCTTGCGTAACGCAAGCGACAAACTCACTTTCATGCCATATTGTAATTTTGCTATGAGCTGGCTCTCGGAGATGAACGTGAAGAGCTTGCGACGCCAGGTGAAGGGCAGAGGCACGATGAGTGACATGAAGATGACCATCTCCGCCACGAGGAGCATGAAGACCTGGATGATACAATGTTAGCAAAGCTCAAACGGACTCGGCTGGGTGCGAAAGAGGGGCTGAGGAGACCAATGTCGAAATCATCGTCGTGAAGCTGACGATGGAAACGGATAAGGCAGTGGGAGCTCGACGAAGCTCTGCAACGTGGTTCGGAGCTGGAGGGTCGCTGGAGGACTTACGAGGCTGTAGTAGAGCGTCATGGTTGCTGGTTGCTAGGTGGCAGCTGCTGGAATGGAGCTTGTGTAGCGTAGAGGTTGGAGGTTATGAACAAAGGCGCAGCTGTGGGAAAAAAAGCTGAGCTCAAGGATGAGGTGTTTTGATGCTGTGAAGGTAGCGGGGAGCTGGTCGTGCGCGGAGGGTGTTATGTGGCCGAGCGAGGAGGGACGGCTGTGACGGGAAGTGGGAAAGCCACACAAAACGAGCAGGGAATACGTCAGTGATCCTGGCCCGTGCCACGCCACAAATAGGCAGCGCAACCGGACCTCTCGTAGCTAGCTTTCATCGTCCAGACATCATCGCCAACTTGCGTCATCAATCGATCAAGGTGAGTCTGGCCTTTGCGAATCTCCCGTCAACCATCCCTCCCAAGCCTCGATGATGAGCACGCTGGGGCCATAAGACTCCACCCTCTCCGCGCCAGTCCCGACTGGGCCAACTCCCTGCCGTGCCTGGCTCGTGACGCTGGGAATGGTTTCAAAACCAGCTATTATTACAATCTTCTCACCTATCTGAAGAAGCTTCCCCCTGGGCTCCTTGTTCGTTTTCGTTTTCGTCAAAGATTGCAAGTACTGACATGGAACAACCCCCTTCGCACAGGTGCTAGCTATCCTTTGATTCCGATTCGCGCTCTGCTTACACCTTTTGTGACCAATTTAACGTCCGTCACCGCGAACCGAGATCCATCGTATAGTGAGGCAGGGAACGATATAAGCAGTCCCTACAGAGTACTCCTTGCCTAGCTCCTAGCCCGAGTCCTGGGTATAGGTGAAAAGCTCTTAGAGCATACACAGACTCTACACACCTTAACTGGGTCTCTTATTCTACTCCATACAAGTTCGCGTCACTTTTCTTTTGGACAGCCTCTCACTCCCGCTCTGGACACTTATGGGACAACTTCGCCCGGGACGAAGCACATCCGCTAGGATTCAGCCCCGAATCTCCACCAAGAACCAATTCATCAACTCACAAATACTCATCGATTGCTCCATATGAACATTTTGGGATCTGCTTGCTATGTTTTGAGCTACGGCAAGCCAATGCCTTCTCTATCGTGACGTACTTCCCGAATTTGGAGGCCCGGAACAGCGCTGAGTTACCATGGCGCAACGCATCACGCTGGCAGAGGTCATACTCATTCACTTGCAGCTCGCGACTGCTCCGGACTAACATGGCGAGCTCTCGTTGCGTGGGCTTGTCAGCTACTCGTATGAGAGACCTCAAGCTCATGAAGGACAGGCGTGCCTGGGTCTAGCCCTTTCTCAACTAGTGCAGCCTAACTCTCCCCGCAATCTGCTCACCGCCCGGTCCCTGGCTGGGCAACGAGGGGCACACAAGGTGGCAGGTGCACAGATGCTTTTTTCTGAGAACACAAATGCCCTTTTTATAACTCCCTTTCTCTTTCTTATGAAGCACCAACATGGCCCAGACAGCGACTATCATCCTTCTCCTGAACCAGCAACCCATCAAGGGCACCACCTGTCTCTTCGACGTCGATAGCACGCTTACGCTAGCGAGACGTGTAAGTAGGCTCACTACTCTGGCACCAGCAATCGCACTCAACCCGCGTCTTTGGGCGCCGCGGACCCTCACAAAAAAGAGCCCCACGTGAACCTTCCAATCAACCTGCAGGACGCCTCGCCGGAAATGTTGCAGCTGCTCTCAGAGCTGCTCTTCTTTAGGCAGACAACTTCCGTCAGCTGAGTGAGACAAGACGGCGAGGTGATGTGCGCTGAGAAGCATCGTCTCAGCCGCAAAGGGCGCGCCAGAGACTCGTCATGGTAGGGGCATTGATGACAGTGGAATACCCAGAGGAGAGTCGGTCACTGACGACTAGGTGCCGGAGACAAGCGAGAGCATCCAGAACTACAGCTCCCATCACACGATGCTGTCAACGTCCGACTCAGCCAACTAACCACATGAACATCAGCTTACTCAACGCCCCAATGGGCGCAAAAGTTGGGAGGTCATGGGATAATCCCGGACGTGGCTGGCGTAAGACGAATGTGGAAGAACCACAGAGGATTGAAAGAGAGATGGAAAAGCCGAAAGCTAGACCAGGCACTCAGGCGAAGTCGCGCAATGTTTCGATAGCGTAGCATTAGAGTGAGAAGAGCAGAATAACAAAAATCAAGATCAATTGAACCACGAAAAGACCTATCCAAACAAACGTCTTCATCACTCTAACGTCCGTCACCATCAAGCGAGATTCGCCGTCTAGCGAGACGGAGAAGGACACAAGCAGTCCCTACGGACTACTCGTTGTCTAGCTAGCTACAACCCCGAGTCTTAGACTATAAGTGAAATGGTCTTAAGGCATATCAACTACATATATACACATACTCTTAAGTGTCTTTAACCTTACTAGATTTTTTCTCTTCTTACTCCGTGTAAGCGTTGTTGTCTCGCAAGACGGGGTGAATCGCGCTTGACGGTGACGGACGTTGACCGCTGCCGCAAACAACCTACCATGCACATTCCAACGCCGTTCACGTGCGCGTACCTGCGTGGCTTGCCCGACACGGAAGCCATCAGGAATGGCGCCGTGTGGAGGCGCAGCGTTCGGTCCGTCAAATTCAGCCGGACTGGACTAGAGCAGCCACCTGCCCCACGTGTCCTGTATCCCAAGAGGCCAGTAAGCTCTCGTCACTATGATCCGTGTACAGGCGCATGGAGGACGAGTATTAAGTTTATGTACGAGTCGGGAAGATACGCATACTGTCAGAGTATCACGCTTAACAAGCAGAGCGCGATAGGGCAAGGATGTTGTCATGGACTCATTTCATTCATCTCGTCTCTGCATGAGAGCGAGGTACTAACTAGGTTTTACTATTTCATAAATAAGTCCTTCATCGCGACGCCAAAGAAACAGTTTAGGCGCGCGAGCAGCCAAGCCTGTCTTCCAAGGCCGGCCGTGACTGAAATGCTGCCCAACACCTAGTTGCTGATGATCCCCCAGGGTATATTCGCAAGGTCGGTTGTGGGGAAGTAAGTGAGAAGCGGCTTAGTAGCCCTGGGCAATCGAGGGGCCCGAGGTGATGTTCCTGTCGCCCTGGCGGCCAGACTCCTGTTGCTGCTGTTAGCGATGATGCTCTTGTGGCTTTGGTACGAGGGGAATGAAGACGTACCTCGGTCGACTGGACGTCGCCCTGCTCGAGGATCTTCTTCACAACCTCCTCCTCGTTGTGCGTGCCGAACTCGTTCTCGAGCGCGCTGTTGGACGCGCCGTCAAGGATGCCCTGGGTGCCTTGCCTGTGCTGATGTTAGAGAGCTGTCGTCATGACGCGCGAGAGAGGGAGAGAAATTGATTGGACTTACTTGTGGGTGCAGAAGACCTTCCAGCCGCTGACGACCTGAGCCAGAGGGACCGACTTGTCGTTCTTCCAGTCCTTGACGGCCTGAATGCTGTCGACGAAGATGACGAAGTCATCCTCCTTGCCCTTGAAGTGGACCTTGACCTGAGCAGCGTTTCCGCGAGTCATTGTGAATGTGTGGTGGTGGTGATGTGAGGTTTGAAGTTGGAAAGGTGTAAGGAGCAGTGAAGCTTGATGAGAAAGTAGAGTTGGCGGGGTGTGTACAATCGCGACGTGGGGTTTTGTAGCACTCGCAAACGGGCGTCTACGTCATCGAACGCACGGCCCCACCCCGCCCTTCCTTGTTCGAGCTGCCGGAGCTGCCCCGCCATCACCAGAGACGGACCTTCCACGCCCTTCTTCTCCCCGGCTCCTGCTGCCCAATGCTGCCCCTCATCACGTCAATTTGTCAAACGCCCAGATCGCGCCCGAGAGAGATCAGGGAAAAGATGACGCAGTGATATGCTTCTGTTTGCTCCCTACACCTATCCTTGTATCCAATACTCAACTTCCAAAAGAACCCACGAAAACGAGCGTGCGTGCTTTCATTCCACACCCCTCCAACAAGTACGGGTACCTTGCATGGTTGCCGTATTCCCGCATGCCAAAACGCTGTGCCAGGGGTATGATCTGCACTGCTTCCACAGCCAAGATGCGCATCCAACCGTCTTCCAAGCACTGGTCAACCTCCCAACTGTCACCCCTTTTTTGATGATATCATGCCTTTGTTACGTCTGGGGTGCCCAAAAAAAAGAAGAACAATCATAACTGAGCTGTTACGAAGTAGGTGTCGCCATTCTCTTTGGCTGGTCCAGTATCGTCTTCTGAGCATCATTGCTCCGCGCCCAGAACTTGAACCGCCGTGTGCGAGGCTTGCAAGAAGGTTTGTTGAGCACTGCCAAGCGTATCTCTTGCTCTTGCACGCTTGTCACCGTCACTTCAGGTTTCGCCGGTTTCGCAACTACCTCACCAGAACCATTAACGTTAGAAAGTCCATTCAATGTTGTCGCTGATCGCTTCGGCGTAATCGTCGTTGGGGTCGGTTCTGGAGGAGAAGGAGTTACTGCAACGGCGGGTACCATCGGTAGCACCATGTGTTCGGTTGCCCGCTCAAAGACCATCGCCCTGTTTGCTTGTCTTCTACGCCGGTTGTTTGTTGCTTTCAGCTCAAAATCGGCAGGAAGGAAAGTCGTCGGCGTCTTGTGAAAGTCAAATACAGGCCGGCGGAGAGTGGACGGGAGAGAAGCCTTCCTAAGTGGTGGCGAAGGGCGTTTTGATGGCTTCGGATGGTCTTCTCTGCGGAGCTGACTGAGACTAGCGTAGCTCCCAGACCGCTTGGAGAAGTTGCTGGTGATGCTTGCCATGCTAAGTTTGCGCATGACAGAGTTTGCTGATGCTCTGATAGGGTTCTCTGCTCTCCTAGGGCTCATGCCGGGATACGGAAGAGCGTCTCTTGTCCACACATCACAGATGGCTGTCTCTAACCGCACTCTTTCAGCTCTCCGTGGAGCAAGCGTGGGAACGAGGCAAGTCGAGAGGTGAGATTGTGAACGACCAACCGGGAGAGAAGCCGTTGATTGCGCAGTTAGCGGCTTCTTCTGGGCTTCAGTGTTTTTGATTATGACTTGGTTGAGATTAGTTTTCGGTCCAACTGTACCAGCACGCTTGATAGACATCCGGCGTGTAAAGCTGTCTGGCTGACCAAAGGCGGGTCCAATGTTCTTTAGGTTCAAGGTGAGTGAGGAAAAGAGTTCCTGTACAGTTGACCTGCCCTCCAGGAGGTCGCTATCCTCTGCTGCAATCCGTTGTCGTAAAATTTTCTTCCAAACGTCTTCCTCCTGCGCGGAACACGCGCTCAAAATTATTTCAAAAAGCCGATGTTCTGCTTCGAAAACGAGCTTCCATGTGAAAAGAGCAGTATGACATTGTAAGCCTGATGTGGAGAAGTTTGTTAGTATCGGACTGAATGAAGTGGAATGGAATACGTACCTCGACCGTTGTTGGGCTGTTCGATACTTCCGTTGCCTAGTGCAATCGCAGCGACAACATGGTAAGTTGCATATCCCTTGTCCGTGATTGCAAGAAGAAGGCAGGACCTGAACAGAATACAAATCATGTATTTGCCTTCAACGCGTTCGTTCGTTTGATAGGCAACGTGTAACACTCCACAAAGCACGACATGCCCGAGTAACCTCGTCAGAAGAGCGTGGGGTAGGATTTGCTGCCCTTGTGTCAATAAGTTCGCAGGATGTCAACTGTTCCATCATACCTCTGTGGAAAACACCAAGCGATCTTGAAGCAACCAAGTCGTCTCAATAAGTCTCCTAGTCACTGGGTCATCTTTGGCGTTGTTGATCTCCTGAATTGCATCCTTCAACCGGTAGTAGACTTTCTCCAACTCCGCATGGGCGACCGGGTCGTCGGCAACTGGAGTATGTTTGAGCAAATCGCTGAAGAACAAAGGGTATTTAGCGGGACGCTGGATTGGCTATATTGGTGTCTCGTTAGCAGCATTGATCCCATACAAACATGTTCGACTTACCTTAATAAGGAGATCCGCCAAGGTGAGGCCTTTTTTGCAGCTTGCTTCTTTATTGTTGACGGACGTCACAGCACAAGACAGCGCCTCGACCCCTCTTTCGTACGCACTCCAGGCGGGAATGGTCCTGTAAGTGGATTCCAGCTCTTGGTTGACAGATTCAAATTTGGAACTGTATTCTTCATACGCAAAGAACCGTTTCATCTATAAAGGAGGCAGTCAATGGAGGGAATTCTATCTGGATAGATGACAAACTTACGAATTTGTCAAAGATGCCAGCAACATCTGCCACGGTCTTGGTGTCCGCCGTCAAGCCCACCGGCGCAGGCTCAGGGGTTTGGCATATGTCCATAGAGTGACGCTGTTGCCGACGACTTACAGCGATACCCGTCTTGCGTCCAGGCACTATGTCAACACTCTGCCACCGCACGTGCTTTGGCCTTGAGACCACCTCGAACGAACTGTCATCATGGACATACTCAGGATTCGGGACAATTCGATGGAGCTCTCCGAGAAGGTCTTCATGCAGTTGAAGGATCTGGGACACGTTTCGATGGATTGCCAATCGAGTTTGAGATGAAACCGCCGGTGTTGAAGCTAATACTGTCAAGTAGACCTAAAGGCCGGTCAATTCAAGACGACTGCACGGTGCTTTAGCGCTTTACTTACATTGACGAGGACCTTCATGTCACCAATGTAACCTTCTTCAGATGTTATTATCTCCTCTAGGGTCCGGCGACGGTGTTTGGCCCGCTCCGAAGCACGCTCGTCCATAAGTTGGGTGGAGCCTGTGGAATTCATTTTCGCCACGAACTTAGCATCGGAGACCGTGCTCCCATGGTTGCTACCTTTGCTTCGGCTGTTCATAGTGCTAATGAGGGTCAAAGGTGCAATGCTGGTGCTAGCCAAAGTGATTGATGCGGACTTGACTGCTGTCACGAACCCCATGGATGAGGTCAGTGAATTGGATTTCTTGTGCGCGGTTATCTTTGCATCGCGATGTGCTCTTTTCTTTGTTGGCTCATCTCCTGACCCATCCAGCGTCCAGCGACGAGAAGATGAAGAAAGCTCCTTGCTACGTTGCTTGTTGCGGCGTCTCAGTGTGCTGACCCATCTCCTGAATGGTGCAATTTTCTCTGGACTTTCCACATCTAAGGAATCTTCCAGATCCTCGTCACGGTCTTCACCACGGCCCTCATCATGGTCCCCGTCATGGTCCCCGTCACAGTCCTCGTCATAGTTTTCTCCTTGGTCTGTCGTAATGCTGGAGGCAGAGCTGCTTCCATTCGAGGCGTATGAAATCACAATAGGCCATTCCACAGAGTCGGAGTCTGATTCCGTTTCAACTTCCGGGACCAGCGCCTCTGGCAAAGAGATATCCGGAAATTCCTCGGTTTGTGGTGTGTCGACAACTTCGAAGCATATCGTTGGGGGCAAAGGAGACGGTGGCAGCGGGATATCGTGAGGGCGCAGAGGCTTTTCCGGAAAGTATTCCGTTTCATTATGAACAGAGCAGACGGGCGGAAGCTCGCTTATCAGGTCAAGAAATGACGTGGTCCTCGACTTTGGAGGAGCATTTTCATTCGTTCTGGCCCACGACCCGGCTTTCACCGAGGTCAAAGTGATGAGAGAGGTAGCCGATACATTGTTAGGTCTGCAACGTCGGATCGTGTTAAGGGAGTCATGAGACGAGGATGTCGAGCGAAGATACGGCGTCTCGCTGAAAGACCGTTTCAGCGGGCTCTGCGGAGGCAGCGAGAGCACGTATGCCATAGCGACTTGGCCGAGGAAGCAAACGAAAAATCATGAGGTGAGCAGAAGCTCTTGACGAGGCATGAATGTTAACGTTGCTGGTTGGAGACGGACGTGTGGGTTGCACATGTGAAGTGTGAAGGCAGTCCCAATTCAGCGGGTCGGCAGATGGACACGAGGCAAGGGCCTGTATGTGTGTCGACACAGCAGGAGCGAGCCTCAGCCAACAGACGCAGGGAAGGAGCAGTTTCTGCACGCAGGAGCTTCAACCTTGCGTTCGCTTTCTCTGACCATTACTCTCTTATCTGTACACTGACTCCTCTTCTCCACAGAGTCGTTGACCTATCTACATGTAGGTTCCCAATCCTGCGCCGCATGATAAAACTCGAAAATGCTAATGCAACCGCACGCAAAGTAATAAGAATACGTGCGCAGTAAACCCACCAGCTCGTACCCGCTTCCACAGCAGGGACCCTGAGCATCTTAAACCTAGCCTTCAGACCCAATCCCGCCGAAACTGCTCCTTTTGACCGTAAATCCGTGATGCTGAAAAACAGAGCTCATGCCACCCATGCCATCCGTGCTACCCATGTCTTCCATCTTATCCCATCCCATACCATCCGCCAGGCCCGCAGGCGCCCGAACCCAACACCATAATACCAATGTATGCTCTCACGTATATTACAGTCAAAATTCTATCCTCAATCACTTCTTCATTTCCGATCTCGGCGAGCCCACGGCCGTGGTGCTATCCGGCATATGGCTGATTCTAGCAGCGACGTTCTTCGCACCCTCAACAGGATCAAGGTATTTGGCCGCTAACTCATCGATCTTGGGGACGAGATCTGGGATCCGGAAGGGCTTGCTGACGACATCGTCCATGCCGGCTGCCAGCAGCTGCGCAATCTGCTCCGAACGCGCGTTGGCTGTAACGGCGATGATAGGCAAATGGCGTGTGATGCGGCCGTCGGCTTCCCACTCGCGAATTTCACGCGTGCACGCCAAGCCGTCCATGACAGGCATTTCCTGGTCCATAAGCAAGACAGATAGCTCGGCCGGATTGTCAGATATGGGCTTGGAGAAGTGCGTGCTGTCGCGTAGCTTTTCAAGACATTCCCCACCGTGGTTGGCAACGAGGACGTTGTAGCCTTGGTGCTTGAGCTGCTTCTGAAGAACCTTCTGGTTGACGAGATTGCTATTGGTACGGTTAGTGCTGGGTTCAAGCAGGATGAATATGATCGCAACTATTAAGGGAACTTACTCTTCAACCACCAACACATTGATACGCCCCCGGTCCTTCGCCTTCTGGCTAGCCGAAGTAGCCGGTGAGCTTGGTTGATCTGCCGCCGTGGCTGTTGCAAAGTCCTTCGTCTTGACGGCTGCTTCTTGATCCTTCTTTTTACCCTTGACCTCGGTGGGCTGCCTGGGAAGTGTAATCGACAATTGCTCGACAGGGTCCTCAGGCGCGTGGCTTCTCTTCGCCTTAACGTAAAAAGCAAAAGTGCTGCCTTTACCAGCTTCGGATGCGACGCCAATCTCGCCACCTTGCAGCTCGGTAAGCTCACGCGAGATGAAGAGACCCAGCCCGGAGCCACCATACTGCACATGTGTTCGGGGCGAGGCTTGCGAGAAGCGAAGGAAAAGAAGCTTCTTTTCTTCCTCGTTCAAACCCCGGCCTGTGTCCTGGACGGCAAAATGCACGAAAATATCCTCCCCATCGCCCCATTCGTTATCGTGAGTCATGTCTACCCGCTTTGACCGAGTGGGAAAGTAGTTGACAGGCCTGTTGGGAAGCTTCGACGGCTTTTCCGTCGAGGCAGCTATAGTCACCCGGATAGTCCGTCTGGATTCTGTAGTGGTAAACTTGATGGCGTTGGTTGTCAGGTTGATAAGGACTTGCATGACACGGGACGGGTCCAATCGGACCCAATCCACGTTGAGTTTCTTGAATGATTCATCAACCAGGAACTCCATGTGGATATCAGCCGTGGCCAATTCGCCTTCGAACATTTTGAGGGCCCGTTGCACAACGGTCAATGGCTGTACATCGACAGGCGTAACAAGCAACATAGCGGAATCGAGCTTCGAAAGTGTAAGAATATCGTCAACAATCCGCTTCTGATGTTGAGCGCAGAGAGCAATGGTCTGCGCAGCATCGATGCTGTTGTTTATGAGCTCTTCGTTTATCATCATTGAGCCAGTGTTGCGGAAATCAATCATCGTTGACGAAATCTCATCAGCACACTGCAAGATAGCGCTGAGCGGATTCCGCATCTCATGACTTGTGATATCGATGAAGTTTTCCTGTTGCCTCTTCAACTCGACGGCTTCCTCCATCTTTCGTTTTTGGAAGCCCTCTGCCCATTTCTGCTGGCTGATGTTTGTGATGGTGCCAAAAACGCTCTTGAGCGTGCCGTGGTCGTTTTTCTCGGGATAAGCGCTGAACAGAACCCAAGTGTCGGTCCGGTTACCATTCTTGTCTTCCCACGGTGCTTTGAACCGGAACTCCGCTGTCGCCGGCTCCGTATGGTCGACCAACTTATTCCACAGGGCAACAACCATCTGTTGGTCCTCTGGCTTGACTGCGTCTATCCATTTGTCCGTGCTGTTGGTGTCCTTGTTTACCCGCGAAATTTCGTACCAGGTATCGTTGCAGTACGTTATATGGCCTTCAGAGTTGGCGATGAACAGACCTGCTGGTGAGAACTCCGCCATCCGCGTAAATCTTGTCTCGCTGTCTCTTGCCTCTTGAGTCCGCGCGGCAAGTTGCTCTGAAAGTTCCATCCTATCCAGAGCAGCGAGTTTGGCTGCTCGTTGCCCGCGCCGTATTTCTTCCTCAAATAATACGACGGAGGCTAACGATGTTGCCAATTGTCTGCTGAGGAGCTGGATAAAAAGGCTGTAGTCGTCGTCGTAGGGTCGTCGTGGATTAACGCCAAGGACTAGAAACCCGAGGATGGATTCGCCTGTTGTCGGGTGGATTGGGCACACGATCACCGATCGGACAGGGTCATCGAAGCCACGACCCCCAATGCCTTCTATGATTTGCGGGGGAAGGTCACCGGTGCCGACCTCTAATAAGACTGGCCTGTCGGTCTTCATGACCTCGCGTAAAACCGGGCCGAAGCCTTCCATGCTCGTCTTCAGTTCTAGACGGTCTGGAGCGCAAGGATGTCCGGGCGGCACACCCAAAGACCCTTCGAGCAAGCATTGCTTCGTACCTAGGATGCTGCTTGAATGCATCGATGACGAATCCGAATCCGCATCGTCCGAAACCGAGTAGACGAGTGCGAAGGGGGTATCATGTTCGTTGGTGGCCAAGGCTGAAAGAACCTGCTCCCAGAAAGATCTGATGTCTCGCGCAGAAGCTGTTCTCTCGCCAACTTCGCGAAGTGTTAGCATGCGTCGTTCAGCGATCTTCCGTCTAGTCTTTTCGAATGCTGGATTATAAAGGCCCATTACTGTGCCATCGTTGCCAATCATAGGTATTATCGACCACGAAAAATACGTCTCCTCGAGGTAGTCGGTTCTCTTGATGAACAGGCAATCGTCATCCTATGGAGTTGTTATTTTGCTTTTCGCGCTTGATGAACCCTGCCGCAAACTCTTACCTTCATGGTGGCTTGACCAGTGCGTTTTGCATCAGCGAACACGTCTTTGACTTCCTCCCAGATCTCCACCCATGCATCTTTGTAGCTTTGGCCCATGAGCAGTGGATGCTTTTGTCCGGCGAGAAGCACATAGGCTTCGTTATAAATGGCCACGAGGTCATCCCCCCAGTACATGGCCGCTGGATGCGGGCTTGCCATGATGAGATTGCACATTTGTCTTAAATCAGAAGGCCAAAACTCAATGGGTCCCAGAGGCGTTGATGCCCAGTCGATGCTTCGAGCAAACTGTATGTGTTTCGGAAGATCAGAGTCGATGGGCAAACGGGTCCAGTCGAAGAAGCCGATCTCTTTCCTATTGCTCCCGTCATTATTACTGAAAAAGGCATCAACATCACCAGCAACAGCTGCTCGGAGCACGCACTCGTTTGTTATTGATGGATGAGCCAGAGGGCCGGGGGTCATCGTAGCTCCCAAGAGCCGGTCGGTGAACCCAGCTCTTGTTGAAAGTAGCGAAGAGCCTGTTAGTCCCGAGGGGGTTGAGGGTTCGTACACAGGACCCGTTGTCCGTGGTGATGCGCCAGGATCCGACGTGGTAGCTGCCGCATTTCCAAAATAATCGCCCGTATCTCCTTCTGTGCTTGGTAACACTGGGTGTACTGAATCCATGGTACTCGCTCTGTCGTCTCGATTCACGACTAACGTGGTGGTCGATGGGGATGTGGAGCTCGGCGTATGGGCTGCCGTGGCATTACCGCTAATGACTCGATATCGCTTTCGAATGGTGGCGATGGTCCACGAAAGCCCCCCATAGAGATACGGAGGTATACAGACATCCAATGACTCGCCGTGCACCACGGAGCCTAGTAGCCATGTCTTGAACTGGACAAAGGCTCTGGGAGCCACAGAATCCTGGGCATCATTCACGCTTGTTCCGGACACGAGCTCGAGCAGTCCGACGTTTGACCGCAGTGCTGAATTTCCGAAGACTACATTCAAGTATACCGGTCCGTAATTGGAGGCGTCGCCCAGGTCCACAATGAAAGTCGGCCGCCAATCCTGTTCTAGCAACTCCGCAATTCCAATCTGGCCCAATGCGCGAGGCAGCTCGGCTTTTTCTCTAAGGTCGGGAGACACGGGTGATAGACTCGCCCGATCGAAGGATGCGCGGCCCGGCGCGCTGGTGGGGCTGGAACCAGAATATGTGCCACGTGCCAGCGTGACGGTTTTGATGCCGCTGTCCTCGCGCGCATTGCTCAGCATCCTCGCAGCGGCCTCCGAGCTCGAAAAACGAGCTGGCAGAGGCGGACGGGCTCGCTTTGTATTGGAGAAGAAGAGGGGCGAAGGGGGTTGCGCGCCGTTCCGGTCGAAGGTACGGGGGAAGTCGAAGGCGTCTAGAGTATGTCGCGAGCGGGTCTGGAGCTTGCGTCTTTTGTGCAGCGGTTCGGAGGTGATATCGCCCCTCTGGGGGCTTGTCTGGGGAAAGGTACGTTTTTCGGCGGGTTTCGAGGAGAGAACGAATGGCTTGCGATGCAGAGGCAGCAATTTGGCAGCTCCGGCGGGAGAAGATGACTGCTCACTATGACAGTCTAACTTTGCATGCCATATGGGACGCGCAAAGAGAGTGTTTTCTTCGTGGGCGGTAGCTTCCGGTGGCTTGGGTGGGTCGGCGGGCTGAGTGCTAAGTGTGGCTCGGTACTCTGGAGTCGTGAGGCGTCTGGTTTCTAGATTGCGCGGGGGGTCAGAGGGGTCTAGTCGTCCGGTGAAGATGGATCTGGGGTTGTTCATGAATGGAGAGGAGACAGCAGCAGGGCGCGCAAGCTCCTTCGCATGACGGCCCAAAAATGCGCAGAAGCGAGCAGGTGCTGTATGGTGGAGTGTGCAGCCGTCGTAGCTTGGGACAGCTGGATGTGGAGATGGCTAGCGCATCTAGACTGGCTGCTAACGCGCGGTACCAGGTGGCCAAAGAGCGCAAAGACAGGGGTGCGTGTGACGAAGGTTCGCGGAAGGAAGAAGTAGAGTGTGATGATGCGGTGGCGTCGCCGGCGTGCCCGAGCAATGGATGGCGGCGGCGCGGCGGGTTTGAGAGTCTGGGGGAGATGGGAGAACGAGACGAACGGCAGGTACTCTACCTATGATGTAGGGCCTTACGGGAAGGAGCTGCGACGACGCAGCAATCGTCAAGGTGGATACGAGATCGGCAAATGGAGACGCATGGCAATCCGCCCTGTTCTCCATCCGTCTCTCCAGATGATCTGCATTGCCATCTTACCTAAGCAGCAACGAGAGCGTCTGTTTCAACGCTTCTCTCAAAGCCCGCAACCTCCTTGGCACGCTGCTCCGGAGAGACACCGTCCTCCCCGACAGACGTGAACGGGTTTCGCCACGCCTTCTTTACGCGCCTTTACCTCTGGGCACGCTATCCAGTCCAAAGGCATGCTCAGTGAAACGCCCTGTAACGTACCCTGACGTCCAGACGTTCCTGACGTTGCCCTTCAAAAAGACCCTTCATTTCCGCCCTTGGCAGTGCCACTTTTGACAAAGACTGCCAGCGCTGCCTCGAAACCTCAAAGGAACGCCCGACAATAAATGAACTGCAAGCATGCAAATCGCCAAGCGGCGCGTCTAATTTAGTTTTGCATCTCCCTCCAACCCATGGTGGCACAAATTCTTCTTCAAATGCCAATCCCCTTCCCGAGGACCAGGCCAGTGAGCCGAGCCACCATGTCTCTGGATTCGAGTTCGAGACCCCGGCTAGCATCACTCAAAACCCTTCGGCAGTACTCTTAGGAGTAGTCTTTTATGTTGATCCGGCCTTTACGAAATAACAATTTGTTAACAAATGGAATACGCGCTACGCCAGTTCGAGTCAAGCTCCCTTATACCCAACGTCATTCCAGAAATTCTCGGGCTGAGCTATACGACTTCGTGACCAATGATACGTTAGTCCTGAATTTTGGAGAGCACTGTTCCTCTCCAAAAATCGAGGTCTTCACTTTCCGATTGGAGGAGTAGAGAGAGTGCATTCTATAAGAGGCAAAAGTATAACAAATAGGAGGTAGGGAAGGGCTACTGATCCAATTGGACAACCCCGAATGTTCCTCCTTTCTGTACAGCTCGAACACAAGTACCCAAGGCTCCGAGGCGACGTATTTCTCGTATATTCACTGGATTTTAGACGCCGACACAACAATCAGCCAAATGTTCATTCATTTTCATGCCTATCGTCCTAAAACAACACAGATATACAAAGACTACGAGTTGGTGATCGCTCATCTCACTCTTATCCCTCTCCTCTGTCTTTGCCAACCCAGCCTCTACACCCCAAACAACGCACCAAGCGCCGCCACCGAAACCATCTCGAGCGCCGTCACAAAGCCAACATAACAACGGGGCTCCCAGTGTTGGCCAGAACCTTAGATTATCCCGATGACCAAGTCAAGACTTTAACCCAGCGTCCAGGCATCCAGAATGTTGATACATTTCAGATACTTCGGTTTCGAGCAAAAGATATCCCAAAAAGCTGATGCGATGTATCAGAGCTCTGTAGGATATTTGTAGTCTAGACTAGATTACCTTGTAAGGCCCCGACCCGTTCCTGATTGTGGATTTAATCACCCACATGTAAGATCTATGCGCCCGTTTCAATTTCGGCCTAGTGAGCGTTTGAATACAGCATCGGTTTGGGGGTGGGGTCTTATCACCAGACCATCAAAGGCGCAGACGTGCGTCGAACCACAGCGGTGATTCGCTGGGGGAATGCTCCGGTTTATATGGTACGCCTAACTCTTTGTTGCTTTCCTCTGCTGTCACTGTTTTATTTTATTATTTTCTATTAGTGTAATACCTGACTTCTGCGCATGCATGTTACTCGACAACAGTAGAGCGCCACTGTCGATTGGAGCAGTTGCCCTTCTGACGTACAGCAACGGCAGTTCAGGTGGTCCGACTACATGTAGATATGATCGTACAATGTGGATTTATATGGGACCAGTTTGGTTGCAACGGTTAAGCAATGTTAATAGCATGCCATATAGTCCGGACAGCTTCGTGAATCAGCAGTGCTTGGAATCATACACAGTAAGGCTGTCTATATATAGAGCAAAACCACGGATACACGAAGCATATTCCGCGGCCGAAACAACCGTCTACACAAACAAGCTCGACGCTAACGCGTCAGCAAGATGGATGACACATGTCCTATCCGCACGGATGGCGCGGACCGCGCCGATACAGCGTCCAAGAGATGGCACTATCCCTGGGATGATCCTGAGAGAAGCTAAGAATTGGCCGAGAGTTTAATGAAGCTTCCTACTGATGGGCGCCACTGCGCATAGCGGCAATTGTAGTGTTTGCAGTTTCGGCGGCGTCTGGACTTGTATCTAGCAAATCCCGTTGAGCCATAGTAAGGCTAAAGCTTGATTTGATAAGCTTGTCTGGCAGGAGAAAGCAACTTTTGGCGACGAGGCGCTTTGATATACGAGTTGGCCAACACTTGGATCTTCTTGTGGCGTTGGGAGGGCGTGCAACAATAAGTTGACATGGAGTGGAAGCGCAAGGCTGAAGGAAGTGGCAGATGCGCTTAGCCGCGGATAAAGAAGCTTCCAAACAGTGGAGATCCAAAAGGCACAGCAAAGCAGAGCGACCCGGAGAGGCGCCGTCGGGCTTTTGCTCGGGGCAATGATGACGTCCGTTCACCACCAACAGCGAAGCTGCCAAACCTCCAACGTTCGCCAGCGCAACACACCCTGCCCCCACACCGCCCGGCCTCTCGATCAGCGACTGCTCTCACCGGGACGTCTGCCTTAACCCCAGAACACCCCAGATAGCCGCAATGGCATCATCGGCTTCCGGAAAGCCCAAGCGCGGCCCAACTGTCTTGGTACTCCTTCTCCCCGGTCGACACGACTGTCTGAGCTAAAGACTCCCCCGCAGGTGACCGATGCTCGTGAAGTTGGCCGCACCCCCATCCGTCCAGCTGTCGCCCAACGCATGGGTACCAAGCTCATCAGCGTCGACAATGTCCTGCAGTATGCCTCCGAGATACCGTCGGGCCAACGCCGTGGCCCTCCCATGCGTCCTATGCCCAACCGCACCCAGTCAGGCAGACATCCATTAGATCCCAAGCTTAGCGGACGCGTGACGCCACAGTACATCCCAGCCCGCTCGAGTAAGGTCAGCGAGAAGCTGGTGCTGCTGCCTGAAGCAGACGCCGAGGTGGACGCCGAGGGGCTCGAGGGGTTCGGCGTAGATGACGAGGAGGCTGGTCCGCCAGATGACGAAGAGCTGGAGAGGCGGCGGATCGAGCGGGGTGTGCGGGAGAAGTCGTATGCGGAGCGGCTGCCCAAGGCGCGGCGGACGGAGAAGCTGGCGCGCGTGACGGCGTATTGCACGGCCCAGTCGTACAAGATGAGAGCGACGACAGCATTCGTCAAGGACCAGCATGGAGCGCGTACAAAGTTGTATGATGATTGCCTGTATACGGTATACCACTTGCCGCTCCTAGGTGGTAGCGACGGGTACAGGGTGCGGAGTAGCCCGGTGCTGAAAAGCCCGGGCGGAAAGAGCGTGCTGGACGAGGAAATTGAGCGGAACGAGCGACGGGAATACCATGAGGGATACTTTGGTGACGTCGAGAGCTACGGCGTGCGCGCGCACGATGAGAGCGGGAGCCCGGCGCAAAGTCCACGTGGAGAGCAGAGCAACATGCCACCAGAGTCACCAGAGCGCTCGACGCACTCGCGGCGCTCGATATCACCGCCACGCATTGCGCCCAATGCTCTCAGTTTCGGTGAGATGTTTGTTTTCTCGTATGGCGTGGTCGTGTTCTGGAACTTCACGGAGCGGCAAGAGAAGGACATATTGGCGGACCTGACCTTTAGCCAATCCATCACAAACGTATCCCTGGTGACTCGGCCGCAGCGCGAGGAGGACTTTGAGACGGAAGAGTTCCATTTTGAGTACAACCCGAACATACCGCGACCGCGTGTCTACAACGACATGATCACGCTGCGCAGCGGCGACCACATGATCAAGCTGGCCATGAGCCATGCCATCTCCCAGAGTACCAAGCTCAGCTTTTTTGAGGAACGCATGGCCCACATCATGCTTGAGGCGCAATACGTGCCGCGGCGACTGGCCTTAACCGGCAAGCTAGGAATGGAGCGCTCTGAAGTCGTCAGGCTCCTGGGTCGCCTTTTCAGCACCCGCGTCGACGTGAATCTCTGTAAGCCAAACAGCCCTTTCGGCTCCCAACTGCTTGTCTTCTCCCATTGACTGACCTCCCTTTCAGCATCAAACATGCTCGACGTACCCAATTTCTTCTGGGACTCGGAGCCGACGCTGCACCCGCTGTATGCCGCCATCCGTGAATATCTTGAGATTAAGCCGCGAATCCAGGTGCTCAACGAGCGCTGCCGCGTCTTCCTCGACCTCGCCGAGATCCTGAGCGACTCCATCGCCGACAAGAAAATGACACGTACGTCCTTCCACCGCACCCTTATTCCTCCCATCTCCACCCTCCGTCCTTGTTCTCCTTTTGTTTACAATTGCTACATAACGAAACCACGCTAACGCTCCCCACCACCACAGGCATCACCTGGATTGTCATCATCCTGATCATCCTCTCCATCCTCGTCACCTGCACCGAAGTCTTCATCCGCTTCGGCCTCCTCGCCTCCGGGAAGAACAAGGCGCAGGTGGGCGTGGGCGTGGGTGCGCCGCTCCCGTCGCCGCACGAGCTGTAACACGCACTACAAAGGGCGTCTGGTCCGGCGTTCGGGGTTTGCCGCTTTCCTACATAGTTAAATAGCAGGGCATGGGTCTGGCGTATCATCTGGCTGGGTGTTACAGAAGGAGGAGCCTAGGGCGCGGCTGGGACAACGTGATGGAGTGAGTGAGAGGCGAGGGGCGGTTAGTTGTGCGTGCATCCGTCTCGTCTCTTTGGCTAGCTAGCTGGTCAGCTGGACGGGTGGTTGATATTTGCTTCTTTCCTGTGCTTACTCCACCCTTTTGCTTTCTCGTTCTTTCCTGCGTAGGGAAGTCCTTGTAAAGATGAGTCGAGGGTGCAGCTCGCTGGATAAGCCGCCTAAGTGGACAGTCGTGCGTACATAGATAGAGAAGAGGATGAAAGCACGGGAAGTGAGCAAGTAAGCAAACAAACGTGCCAGTTACGAGGCGGGCAGGTGGGGCAACGAGTAACGCATGGGTGATGCGTCGTTGGTTTTGCGGCTGTGCGTGGAGCGTGGGGTGTAAGGTGTTGATGCAGTACATATACAGTACAGGCATAGACAAGGCAGGCCAAAGCCTTGAACAATACAGTGGAGGCCCTTGCAGTGAGCGTGCCGTACGTCTGGGGATTTGAATGGCTTGAGACAGACTGCGTTGAATGGTAGACGTTGATTTGATCTACAACACCAAGAAGATTGTTGTTAGCGCTGAGGGGGGGTTGTGTAGAGTAAGTCTGGGCGCGGCAGCTGATTGCTGTAGTGCTATAGCCCGTGAAGACAGCTCTTGATGCGGACGAGAAGACTGATCAGTCAGTCCAGGTCGATATTGGTAATACAAATCAAGATGGCGTGGTGCCGAACATGGAAAAGCAATATGCAGTATACCGTACACACGCACATCCGCAGCACCCATTCTTTTTGCTCGACCTTTGCGTCTCACACCTACTACTTCCCGTTCGAGCTTCGTTTCTGGCCTGTCGGTTTCAGATGTGTGACGGGCGGGAACAAGGATCATCTCTGAGCATCAACTCTATGGCCAACGTACCCGCTCGGACTGAATTATACCCGACGACCTAGACTAGTTGGCCAAGGCGTGCGTGCATACCTTGGACCACCAACCATCACCGCCATCACCACATCCACGGTCCCAGAGCACGACACGGCACGTCGTCCCCACAAACAAACCGTCCGGTTCCTCCCACCTCCTGCCCACCCAAACAAGCACCTCGCAACCGGGCCCGCCAACCCACCCATTGCAGCTTCCGCTGGGCGAGCAAAAGATGTCCAGAGGAAACTGTTGCCCAGATAGGCAGCGCGACGCTATCTCTCGTCGTTTCTGTGCTACGCCGCTTTTAGCAGCGGTGGAGATAACGTAGAGCCGGGGGAGAGCGAGCAGGGTAGGTAGCAAGCTCCTGTGCGGGGACGCAATTTGGGGGGTGGAGAGAGGTGGTAGAGGAGAAGAGCGAGTACCTGCGCGGATGCTGGTGAGTGGTTGTAGGGCTTATTACCTAGCGTGCTTCCCTTGCTCGCTGTAGTGATGATGGAATCGATAGATGGGGAGGCAATTGAGTGTACTTGAAAGACAACAAAAAAGTCAATCCTACAGTGCATGCATGCGTTCGTGCGTATGGGTCGTAAATTCATATCATTCACTTCTATCCTGGTATCCTTTCTATTTTTTTGATGTTCGTCAAGACATGGCCATCTCGTTTGTCACTCTTTCTCAAAACAAAGCACAACCACACCTTCACACATAATCATCTACAGGCTCTGCTTGCCGCGAGTCTCAATGGGCAACAAGACCATCGCCACGAAAGCAGCCAGGAACAGGCCACCAGCGGCGTAGATAGGCCCGCTGGGGCTGGCCTTGCCCGCGTTGACGGCCACAATCGGGGCGCACAGGCCAGTGAGACGGTTCAGGAACGACGAGATTCCGGTGCCGGTACCGCGGTTGGGCGCAGGGAAGACTTCGGGAGTGTAGGCGAAGAGAACACCGTACCTATGCGTGTTAGCTTGTATTCTTATGCGTTGCTGCTGTAGCGAGAACTTACATGATGTTCTGGAAGAAGGCCTCGAGTGATGAGAAGGTGAGCTGATAGTTGGAGTCGGTGCTGAGCGTGAAGAGGAACAGGAAAATGCCACTCAGGAGAGTGCTGATGGCCATAGTGCCCTTGCGGCCGATGTACTTGATGTCGACGGTCCACATAGCCAGAATACTGCCCGGCACTCCCACCACCGAGGTGATGACATAGTTGCGGTAGGCGGTATAAGTCGAGGTAGTCTGGTCGCCGCCTACGTTGGACAGGTACTGCGGCAGGAAAGCGTTGAACAGAGGGTAGCCCATGCCAATGGTCGCCCAAATGAACCATACCAACACCGTCGTGGTGGCCAGCCGCCATCCCTGGAACAGCGGGCCGATGCGCGATGTACCGAATTTGCTCAGGTTGCGCTGCACGATTTCAACCGTGCTAAGCGCCTGCTTGACCTCCGTCTCCGGCTCGCCGCCGATCGCGTTCAGAATTTCTTCCGTTAACCATGTCTTAGCCTTGTTGTGGTATGCGATGCCGTGCACAACGGCCACGGCCTCGGATTGCCGGCCCCGCGACAACAGGAACTTAGGCGACTCGAACAGGTGGAAGAGGAAGAAGCGCGCAATGAACATGAAGAATGTCAGTGCTCCAATGGTCAGGACGAAGTAGCGCCAGCCCCAGTTCTCGTCACGCGTGCAGCTGGTAGCATCGTCCGCGCAGGAATAGTTGGGAATGAATCCCCATGCGACTACGGCAAATTAGTCATCACGTCGAGCAATGTTCGGAGGAGTTGCGTACTCAGAGAGGAGATCAGCTGCCCAATAGGCCACCACACACTCAGCAGCGTCAAGAGATTGCCGCTTGCGAAGGGGAGGAACTCCAGGAACAGAGCACCGTCGACGGGCAAGTTGCCTCCGACACCCAGTCCAACGCAGGCGAACAGTGCGCAAGTGCCGACCCAGTTCGGACCGCCACCCGCGGCCAAGCCGAAGACGCCAGCGATGAACAGCGTGCAGTTGAAGGCTAGACGGCGACCGATGACATCGGACGCCAATCCCCAGAAGCTTGCACCGATACAGAGACCAGTGAAGAGGGAAAGTGTCGTGTATCGAATCGCATTACTGTCGACACCAAACTCGGGCGAAAGCTTGGTCAAAGTCAGGGCAACACCCTTGGGTTCTGTCAGCACGTTTTCAAATCACCGGCGTCTCTGATCACGTACCTGAAGCCACAAGCTATTGGTAAAGTAGTCATAAGCTGTCACGCTCAACCTTTCGGGGAAAAAACGACTCACTTGTCGGCCAGCCAGCCAAAACCACACAAAACAAACAACTCCCACTGATACCGGCCCATGCCAATATCTTGGATAGCCCTGTTGATGACCTTTGATTTCCCTATACGCTGTCAGATCTGAGCTTGTAGAAAGCACACAACGGATGGGGGAACACTGGATCACTGCTCAGCTAATTCAAGCTTCACGATAGACGTACGATCATATGCAGTATTCTGGTCGCCTGCCGCTAGATCACCGTCAACCTCGGCCCTCAATTTCTCAAGGGTCAGGCCACTGGCCCAGTCGTCGCCACTGTGGTCAGAAGCAGTAGTTTTAGCGGCGGCGTCAGTATCCTTCTCCGTTATCGACGGGTGTTTGTGAGACGTTTGTGCGAGCGGCACTAGCACTCCCGGAAACTGGGAGACATCATGCTTCGTGAAGGGGTTCAGGAAGTAAGGCATCTTGGCGCGTTAAGAAAATTGCGTTAACAATGCTAGTAGATGCTGCGTTGGGCGAAGCTCGATCCGGGGTTTTGTGTGCTGCGTTTGGATTGGCGGATGGTCGATGCTGCTCTGGGCAAGAACTTCGGTTGTCGCTTTTGGCAGGTATATCGATACGTCGTCTGGGTGTTGGTGCTATGGGAGTCGTACAGGCGCTTCAGGAACGGTCGTCGAAGGGGCGGTAGGTGCAGATTTGTGTGATGCGTGCGGACTCGATAGTGTTGAGCATCAGAGCGACACCTTCACGGGCACCGGGTCGGGAGCAAGGCTGAGGTCGAATGGTAGAGTGTTGATTGATCGCTTTCCTGTGCAAGTCCAGTAACGAGGAGAGAAGGGCGCCTTTAAAAGTAGCCAGGCAAGGCGGGCTGAGGAATGCCTATGTCAGTAGGCTGACCCGCTACCCCGACAAGCGGGGCGGACCTAACGCTGTATGCATTTTTCGCCGGCTCGCGAATCCGCGATACGACGTTGGGACGTGATAACCGTGTAACGTGGTGGAGATCTGCAGCGGCGGCAAGGCTCGCTTTAGCTGAACCATGACGATGGCCAAGTCGGCAGCCGACCTCCCAGGAACGTTCGTCTAACTGGCAACGACTTCGAACGGGTGCCGTGTACTACCTAGTTTTGATATAGAAAATTTAGAAGATTGACGGGCTTTCCACGGTACCAAAGTCGTGAGAGAGCAAACAGCGTTCCCATGTCTTGCGGTCAAGCCTCTCGATCATCTCGATCAAAAGAATCTTCAAATTTTGACCCTTGTCCGCGGCGAGTCCGAAATCCTGTAGCCCAATAAAAAACAGGGTCTTGCATACTCGCTTTGGTCACGTTTCAACTGGTCATAGCCCAGTGTCCCTTGGAACGGCGCGTCCTCACGTCCTATACTGCACGTGATTGAGCCTTAATGCCGACCTACCTTGAACATCTTTCCAGACTTCCGTACCTCCTTCCTTGATACCTTCTCCGCTTGACCGAATTACCGACATCTTTTCCAGCTCAGTCCTGCCTGCCTCGATATTGGCACACGAACACTTACCGATCTCAAGTACACGCAGCAGCCTTTCGGCCTGGGTAGCCGAGCACGCGTATGTGATTGGTGCGTCATCAGCCATGACGCGCCAAGGGCCAAGGGCCGGGGCCGTTTTTGACGTCCTGCGGAGCGCCACTTTTAAAGCACAAATGCCGTGCTTGTCCTCATTGCCTCAAAAGAGTTGTACCTACGAGTTGTTTGCATAACCATGGGTCGAAGGATCGCGGGACCCGCGGTCCATGCGCATCTGCCATACGGAATCGTAGCCGGTCTTTTAACCTAAAGCCACGTGCTGTGATGCGGCGAGAAGCACGCGTGTTAGCGTGATACCAGATGGTCTGAAAGAGATCTAGCCGCAGCGAATGAAAACACCTGGACAAGAGGAATTGACAAGAATGTGATCAATAGCTCTCTGCTGACAGCAAAAAGTTCGTTGTTGCTTACGTCCAAAAGCAGTAGGATTTTCAGGCCCCCGCAGAATGCGACTCTGACTGTGCTTTCCGCTGCAATCACAACGCACTCCACAGTGGCACAAACCCGTCAGCTGATGCTCTTGAGAGGCTGGGCGGTGAGATTGAGACCAACCCAAAGGTGCGCTGTGCACCTTTTGTGTTTCTCGGCAAACTTGCATCCGCAAGGGAGAGGCGACAACAACAACCGTTTAATAAGCAGAGTGGAAATGGCTCTGGATCCTCAATTGATTGAGGACGACGGCTGAAAAACTTTTTCCCTGCTCCACCATACGATGTCGTCGCGATGTCGTACGAGAGCTTGCGAGACGGACGCCTGAGAATCAGAGAGTAACGTAATGGAGTTGAGTCGCTGTCCATCAGAAAGTTTGCGCCGTCTGTCAGAGGCTTTGTTTGCCGTTATCATGAAGAGACTTTGCTCGCTCCTCTGTCCACTTCCCATTTCAGTCTTTCTTTCAATTTTGCTTCTGATGGTTGGACTGACTTACGCTGGTATGAGCTGACGTATCAGAGAGATTTGGCTGTGGGGCACGAGAGTCACATCAGACATGAATGAGCGACTGAGAGTGTATGGTTGACCGGAGGAGATCGAGTCGCTGTGCTTGTCTGCATTGGCCTCTGGCATTGAACGGAGATCTCTTTCGTTCCAATGTTGTTCGTCGAGGTTTCGGGGGGGGCACACGGGGAAGGAGCGATGACGTGCTACGTCACAGACTAAGGTAGGTACCCGCGAGTCCGAGCACCAGCGGCGACCTACCTAGGTACCTCGCGCATACCAGCAATGGACAGTATCGCGAGGTCTGGATGGCGGCAGAGACGAGTGTGCCAAATTATCCGAGGACGGGCATCTCAAGGGCCATGAAGCCGCCACTGCAGCCAGGCAACACCAAAACAGAAAGAAGCAAAGTTTCTTCTTCAAGCACCCAGACAAGCCGAGTCACTCAACGAAAAAAGAGGAACGGGTTCGCGTCAGCCTGAAGCAGTGAAATACAGGCGACACAGTGAGAGGCGACATGTGCAAGCACAGCGGCCACCCCTCGGGTTTCAAAAACACGCTAATCAGAAAGCCCCCGTAGGGACGTTACAGCGATTAGACTGTAAAGAACAGATACTACACTTGATCTAAGCCAAAAGGCAAAGAGAGCTGAAGAAGAAAAGAAGAGGAGGTGGTGGGAGGGGAGGGGTATTTATAGACGAGGGAGGAGGCTCGCTTGGCTCATCCGCGGCGGCTTTCACAGGGAGGAGGGAAAGGGCGGGCGAAGGCTGTTGCCTGCTGTAGGTGCTGCTGCCTGCTGCAGGTGCTGCTGCCTGCAAAGGAAGGGAAGGTGCTGGCCGTGAAAGAGGGCAGAGGTGGCAGGAGCAAACGCAGGCAGGAGCAAACGCGGGAAGGAGCAAACACCGGGCCCGCAGTGGCAAACACCGGAGAAGCAAGAGCTCGGATTACAACGAAAACAACAACAATAACAATCAGCAATGCACGCACTTTCACCGACACCATCCACGGCGCCTCCGAGACGAGAAGGGAAGCTCCTCGAAATCGACGATATGGTCAAGGAACTTCCTGTTGCGACCAAGACAAAAGTTCAACGCAAACGCGCTTTTAGATGTCCGCCCCGGGGCGCGAGACGACGCCAACTCCGCTTGCAAAGCCAAGGTTCGCGTTTAGAGCCGACAGGAGATCGCGCTCAAACCCTACCATATCCAGCTGGGTTTCGTTCACGCAGAGGACGGCCGCCATCATTTCAGTGCACATCTGCTGAAGGAGAAATGGCGGAAAACTGGAGAAGATGGGCTACTGCATGAGCTGTGATGGGTTTGAGTATACGTGTAATTTGTAGTCGGACCCTGCCAGCAAGGGTATAACCACAAGGGTGTCTAGTATGTAACTAAGACTGACATCTATGGATGATCGCTGGTGTCCTTGGCGAAAGAGGGAAGGAAAGGTAGTAACGCGTGCTCCAAACTGTTTGAAGCATTGAGTTCTGTAGTTGAAGAACGGTAGGAGAGTAGGTATAATGTAGGTATTTCTTTCCTTACTACGGAACCAATTAGGTCACTCTATCCAACTGGCTCCTCTCATGGATGTGTTGTCTGATCGTTATAGGGCTTAGGTAACGTCCCTTTCGCTTTCTTCGTTTTCATGTTAAACTGTCTAACACAGGTTTCCAAGGTGAATGCCCGTTTGAAGGTGCATGTTTGTGCGGCCCGGACGACGAACAGACAATCACGTCCACCTCATCTTAAATGCCGCCTACGCCTTACATCTCCACTCTTCCACCAACCACAAAGTTCTCGCGACCAGTGGTTGAACCGTGAACATGCCCGGCAGAATGTAAGTGTCAGACGCATGACGGCACACATTGGTTCTACCTAAACTGACAAGCCGAGGGACCAATACCGGTACTGCCGCCCTTGCGGCAGGTCCTACAACAACATAGAAGCGCATTACCGAAACTCTCGTCGGCACGCCTACTGCGGGCGATGCGAGCGGCACTTCACGTCCTGGGAGGGGCTGGATGCGCACTGGGCGAACTCATCAGCGCACAACTTCTGCAGCAAGTGCGACTTCGACGGGGAGGACGAGGACGAGCTCAAGACACACTGCTACGAGACGGGCTGCGCAGTGCCCTGCGAGGGCTGTGCCTTTCTGGCGCCGTCCAAGCGCGCGCTCCACAAGCACCTGGCGGCCGTCTTCGGCTGCCACAAATGCCACAAGCACTGCGACAACCACAACAACCTCCGGCAGCACATGCTGACGCACGCGCCGGCCCGGGTCGAGTGCTGGGGCTGCGACGCCCTCTTCGTCTGCCTCTCCCGCATGGTCGTCCATCTGGAGCAGGGCTTCTGTCCGTCGGGCTGCTCGCGGCGCGGCCTCCATAGCCTCGTCCCTTGTGTCTGAAACCTGCTGGACTACACTACCCCCGCTTATCGCGGCGACCTCACTAACTGCGTCAATATCGAGGAGTTGTACGGCCTGGATGCTCGTCCCTTCTGCTGCCCTACCTGCGACTCGGAGTTTCGTCTGCTGAGCGCTCTCTTGCACCACATCGAGATCAACTCGGCATGCAACGAGGACATTAGGGAAATCGACTTCGTTGACCTCCAGGAGCTGTTCGAGGATGAGTATCTTCTCTGAATGGAGGGGCTACAGGGCGCATTTGGAGGAAGTGTTGTTCGCGAACGAATGACCATCAAGGGTCCTGGAAATAGTTGCTGCATGCTCTTAGGAACTTCCATAGTGGAACCTCGCTAGCTAGCAAATTCGACACGCCCTCGCAGTTTCTGCAGAAGGAAGAACGAAACCGTACATACATATTCCACCCGTTTGAAATCTTCAGCGCCAGGTCTCAACCGTCCATAGTTATTGCAAGGCTTGGTCGAGTTTGTTATATACCGCACACGCGCCACGGATTAGACTCGGGTGCATGGCAGACAGACCAGACCTACTCTAGCGACAAGCCTTGTAGTTCTTTGCACTTGACATACATTCCCCCAACCTGTGCCACGCTGCCACTCCATCACCAGTCTGCCTTCCCTTTCCTAGCAGGCACATGACTTTTCGACGTGCAGCCGGGCAGGGGAGGGTGCGCTGAGCTACCCTGCAGTGGGGTGGGGGTGTGCTGCGCCGCTGCGGGGAGTGTCATCGTCGTCATCGAGACAGAGGCCGAGATTTCGTGATTTCGTCGTGCGTAAGGTTGTGTCGTTGCAAGAGAGAGCTGTAGTCGTAGCACCAGCAGCGCCGCTTTGTGGTGTGAAGCTACCGCGAGCATTGCGCTCGGATGCATTTGCCGAGGCAGGCGCAGAGGGCTGCGAGCATGGCGATGAGGTGACTTTATGGTATGGTAGGTACGTATGGATGAGGGAGATTGGGTGGGTCCCGTCTTGTGGATGAGGATGGTGAGGTTGTGGGAGAGCTGGTTTGTGAGGCTTGCCTTGGTTGTGGTGGGTAGGGGACAGGAAGGAGGGTTCGTCGTTGCGGCTTCTGTATGTAGGCACGTCGTCAGATGCAGCCTAGTAGTTGAAACCACGGCTCCGCGGCCAGACAAGAAGAGACAGCGTTCCTACCTATAGCAATAATCGACGGGTATAAAGAAAAGGTATACAAAAATTTCATGTTCCTCATCCAAATCCAACAGCACTCAGTGCCCGTTCTTCCCCTCAATCATGCGCTCGTCTCCCGAGCCACCGCGCTCCAACACGCGCCTGTAGCCCTCGAGCTGGATCCTCCGCTGCGTATCACGCTGCTGCTCCAGGCGCTCCACGCCGCGCATAATGTTATCAATATGCAGCGTGATGGGCAGGTCCGGGGCCACCTCGCCCGCCGTCTCAGGCGCAGCGACACGCTCGCGCAAGTCCTCGAGCCCCGCGGCAATGGCCTCGAGCTTGAGGACCGTCGCGCTGACGTGCGCCCACGCCGTCTGGCGATACGTATGCACGTCCTTGAGCAGGCGCAGCTGGGCCTCGAGCTTGGCGGCCTGCGCGCGATTGCCGCCCAGCTTCGTCCACAGCTGCGCGAACAGCTCCTCGCGCCGCCCCTGCGTGCTCAGCCCATCGCGCATCGCGATGCCGTGGATAGCGTCGAGCCGCTCGTCGAGATTCTCCAGAATCCCCAGCAGCGCCTGCGCTTCGCTGATCAGCTGCGCGATCTCTTCCTCGACCGCGCGCGTGTGCCGTAGGTACTGGTCTACGAGTGCCTCGCGCGGCGTCTGCCGCGCTGCCAGCGGCCACGGCGCATTGTCCATGATGCGCGCCAGCGCGCCGCGGTTCTCTTCCCGCTCCGTCACCCCCTCGATGACTTGCAGCGTCCAGCGGTTTGTGCTGAGGATGTGGTCGACGGCGCGTCCAATGCGGCTGTTGAAGCGCGTCAAGTCGCCCGACGCCTTGCGCGCCGTGTCGATGAAGCCCGAGAACTCGAACTCAAGCTCGTTCTTCGATGGCAGTGTCGAGAACCGCACTACTTGGCGCAGATCCCGCACCACGGTCTCTGTCCGCCTCATGTCGGCGGGCAGGCCGGCGCCTTCGGACGACGATGCCAGCACGTCTTCAAATGCTGACTGCACGGTCATCAGCTCGTCGAATTCGACGGGCCCTGCCGCCGGAGCTGCAGGGCGAGGTTCGCAGAAGGGCAGGTTGAAGCGGGATGCGCCGGGGATGTAGCATAATGGTGTCAGGGTGGTGGATATGGTTGTTTTGAAATAGTTGGTAGCGAGGGCTAGTACGGCAGAGAAGAGCAGGACTGCGAGTCCGAAGGAGATGAGCGGCTTTAGGATGTTGAGCGCTCCGCCCAAGGTAGACATCAAGAAGCCAAAGACTGGATAAAACACGTTCGCCGGGAAAGACTGGTCTGATGGTTTTCTCGGAGGCGAGACGCGCTGCATTGGCCTACTCTTCCTCTTCCTCGCGGACTCCATGTTACGCGACCCCGAGTGCAGGAAGGAGCCATCGTTGTAGTCTTCGGAGGTCGAGGGCGAGGGCATGACGAATTCGGGGGCTAAGGATGAGGAGGGAGAGGTGACTCGGCGGGCGGTGGGGGTGGCGGGAACAGCAGGCGCTGAGGTGGTGGAGTGGCTGCGGGGTGGTGCGTATCGCTCCGTCGTCCTTTCCTTGGAGTAGCTGTGTTCAGACGCGGATGAATGTCCCAAGTCGCTTTCTTCGCCGTAGCTCAAGTCCCCCCAGGATTCGCCCAGACCGTCGATGCGCGTCATTAGACGTCAGGCGTCAGGGCACAAAACAAGATCAGATTCAAAGACAATCAGGCGAGGAGGATGCGACGGCGACTGTGATGGCATTTGTGACGCGGTGTTGGTCGACGTCGTTCCTCGCGTCAACTTGTCACACGTCACGCGTCTCTGACCTCCCGTCCACAATCTCCTAGCGAAGATGCTACTACGGCTGCGACTGGCCCTACGCCGCCCTGCCTTCGCCTTCTGGGGAGCCCGTAGCTGCTCCTCCTGCTCTGCCCCACGACCCTTTCCCACAACCCTCGACTCGACTGCCGCTGCCGCCGCCCCGCCCAAACCCCCCGCCGACCACCGCGAGCTCGCGCAGCAACAGAACCTCTTCACCACCTCGCTCTACAGCCCCGGCTCGCCCCTACTGCTGCCCAATGGCTCTGCCATCTTCAACAAGCTGGCCAACTTCCTGCGCGCGCAGTACCCGCTCTTCGGCTTCCGCGAGGTCATCACCCCCACCATCTACAAAAAGTCGCTGTGGGAGAAGTCGGGCCATTGGGAAAACTATGCCAGCGACATGTTCTCGGTGCAGGGGCGCGACAAGTCCAAGGCCGAAGTCGAGTCCATGACGCCCGAAGAGTTCGGCCTCAAGCCCATGAACTGCCCGGGCCACTGCCTGCTGTTCGCGAGCGAGAAGCGCAGCTACCGCGACCTGCCCGTCCGGTACGCCGACTTCAGCGCGCTGCACCGCAACGAGGGCTCTGGCGCGCTGTCGGGGCTGACGCGCGTGCGCCGCTTCCACCAGGACGACGGGCACATATTCTGCCGGCCGTCGCAGATCCAGGCCGAGATTCGCCGCACGCTCGACTTCGTGGCCATGGTGTACGGGACGTTTGGGCTGGGGCCGTACAAGCTGATGCTGTCGACGCGGCCGGAGGAGCACTACATCGGGACGGCCGAGGAGTGGGCGCGGGCCGAAGGGCAGCTGAAGGCGGCGCTGGACCAGAGCGGGCGCGAGTGGGCCATCAACGAGGGCGATGGCGCCTTCTACGGGCCCAAGATCGACATCATCCTCAAGGACAGCGACGGCAAGGAGCACCAGACGGCGACGATCCAGCTGGACTTCCAGCTGCCGCAGCGCTTCGAGCTGGGCTACACGGCGCCGGCGCCGGAGCTGGAGCAACGTGGTGAAGAGACGACGGACCCGGCGCTGCTGGCTCACTCCGGGCTCGTCACGCCCGTCATCATCCACCGCGCCATCCTCGGCTCACTAGAGCGCTTCCTCGCCCTCCTCATCGAGCACTACGACGGGCACTACCCCTTCTGGCTCGCGCCGCGGCAAGCCATCATCCTCTCCCTCTCCGACAACCCCACCCTAACGCAGCACTGCCACCGCCTGGCCGCGTATCTGAGCGGCGCGCAACCGACGCGCGACCCGGAGACGGGTACGCTGCGGCCGGCCCCGATGGGCCGCCCCGCCGTCCAGGTCGACCTGGACCTCTCGCCGCGCCACCTCAACAAGAAGATCCGCGAGGCGAAGCAGAAGGGCTACAACCACATTCTGGTCGTCGGCGACAAGGAGATGAACGCCGCTGCGGCGGACGGTGGCGCCGACGCGTGGGGCACGGCCAATCTGACGTTTTGGAGCCAGCCGAACATGGATGCTTCGAGGCGCGTGTTGGAGGTGGCGCGGGGCACGCTTGCGCAGAGCACTGAGGCGGCGGGCGATAAGACCGCGTCGTCATCGTCGTCAGTCAAGGCGAATGTGCGCGATCTCAAGCGCTATTTTGAGGGCTTGTTGGATGCGTATTTGTAGGCACGAGCGGGTTTGGGGGGTTTTTGCTTGCTTTGTGCTGCACTGCGACGCGTTGCGTTGCATTACATTGCTTTGTACTATAGTGATGGGGAAGGGGGGAAGAAGTAGAATAAGAGGGCCATCAAAAGGGAAAGGTATCGAGGGCAATGGGTGTGTAAAAAGGGCTAAGAGAGGAAAAAGGGAAACATCTACTGCGCGCTTGAAGTGCGCTACACATCGTGTCATGCGCTTCTATTTCCGTGCTTCACTCACTCGTTCTTGTGGCTGGTGGGCTCAGTGACTGGTCGATTGCTAGGCTGGCTGCCTAGTCGGTGGGAGGAGAGGCGAGGTGATTGTGTTGGCATGAAGTGACGGAGTTAGTGAGATGGCCGTTTGTATGTCTGCTTTGCTGTTTGTGCCGTGACAGCAAAGTCACAAAGGCTTCTTCAACGCTTGGTTACGCACAGTGAAGCACACTGCCTCGTTCCATGCTGAGCGTGCTCTTCCTGTTTTATTTTTAAGTTTGTTTCAAGACAAGTGAGCTTTTATCCGCGGTCTTCTACCGTCATTTGTCTCTGTCGAGGAAAAAGAAAGCCTGAAAGGCAGTGAGACATGAAGCGATGTTTGAGTGATTTGAACATGCAACCCAACGTACTCCGGCATATTCGTCAACAAGGGTAATTCCAGCAAGCGAGTACTTGATAGGCGCGGGCAGGAGTGCCGAAAAAAGGCGCCCTGAGGCCATCCATATATGCATATCCAGACAACAGCAGTCAAACACGCATAAATGCCTCGCTGATTGCAACCGCAACACACGGGTACCGGCAGCAGCGCGGAGCACGGACAACACCAGCATGACATGACGAGAGCAAAGCACCGCGCAGCGAACACCGCAATGACGAGCACCAACGTCAACCGCCCTCGCCGTGCAAACAAGCCAGCCAATAAGCCGGCCCACGCCTCGCGGCTTCAGGAGGCAGCGCATCCGCCTTGCCGCCGTCAGCCTTGTGCCGAGAAGGAGCGTTTTTGCGGCAGCGCCGTCGTACTTTAGTACTCGTACTGCTACTCTACTCGTACGAGCAAGGCACGGTAGGACAGGAGACACCGTCGACGGGACCTCCCGTCTGTGCTACGCGCGCACGGCATCGGCTTTTGTCACGGCTGTGCTTGCGCGCGCGCTTGTGCGGCCGTGAGACAAGCGCCAGCCTCCACGGCAGTTGCTTCTTGTGCCCGGCGGAGGCGGCGTCCTGCTCCGGCGGGGGTGTCGGAGGCGGGCTTGGAGGCCGTCGGCCCACGGGTGTGGTGATCCTTTTGCGCTTGCGGAGACGGGCTTTGTGCCTGGTGCTTCAAGGGATGAAGCGGGAGGGGGTTTGTGCTGTCTTTGGACAACTGTTGGTCTCGTGTGGGCATGGCTACGAGTTTGGTTTCGTGGTTCTGTAGTTAACAAAATGTGCCCTTTCAAAGAGTATCTTGGACTTGGAAATACGGCAGTGATGCTATTTTGGACCTTGTCAGCTTACGTCTGCTTTGTAGTGCGCTGTTTCTTCACTCTGTACAACGGCAAAGGGAATTTGCCGGTGTCGGGGAGGCGGAGTGAAGGTCCGGGTCGTGAGGATCATGGTGATGTACTCGTACGGTTTTCTGTCTCTTTGCGAGGGGAAGTGAGCAGGCAGGGTTCTGATAGGGCCATATTCGACGGCTTTCTACTCCGACTACGTTCGATGTTGGATGCAGTCTGCTCGTTTAGGGCGGATCGAGAGTCGGGAAAGCGGGTCTGGACACTGAGCATCTCGCGGAGACGGGGGAAAGTGCCGGTGCGGGAGGAAGGAGGGAGGCACAATGGCAATGAGGATTCTCAGTCGCCGGCACTGAAAGCCGTAGACGTTCAATGTTATTGTTCAGAATGTCCGTGTCAGAACAGCGGCAGGGACATGGCAGTGAAAGAGGATGTTGATGCTGGCTGTGATAGGTCCGGGAGCCAGTCCCTATGGATTGCCGCTTGTGGAAAACCTGCAAGTGGCCACAATGGACGTGATAGGCGGAGCTGGCACCCGTAGACGTTTGAAGTTTGTCGTGCACGTATGCGCTTCCCGACGGTCCTTTACGGCGATGAGCACCGTCTCCGCCAAGACGTACGAAGTTGTTGCTCCGACTTGCTCTTCTTGGCCGCCTGCGTTTCTCTGCTGCCATTGAATCGACGCCAAGGCCCCTGTTGTCGCTTGTGCACTAGCGCACTAGTGAGTAGCTAACGCGCGACGTCAACTCCATCTCCTCCATCCTCCGGTACTCTACCTCTGCGTACCTGTACTCTATACTTTTGCGCCCGCAGTATACCCTCCACGACGTCTCTGGCATACGTCTGGCTTTTGCGTCGGCTCGCATTGCGCCTCCTTCGACGACACCCCCGGCAGCCCGCCCCGACCGTCTCTCGTTCCGTGCTCCCGACCTCATTTCGCCCGTTACGACCGCTCCAGCCCGCACCCCGTCGACCCTCGTCCTACTTCGACTCTTACCCTAATCTACACTATACGCTGCTCTGCCCTGAGCGTGACCTGCCATTGTCACCGCCAACCCCGCTTAGCGACACCGCGTCGTCGCCTTTGACCCACTGCCCGGGCGCGTCGACCGACGCCAGCCTCCTCCAACAACTCCGAAACATCAAAACCTCTGTCACCTGTCACGTCGCTCAACATGTCGAGTCCGCTGCCGCCGCCGGAGGGCCATCGCGACCGCCTCCCCACCCTCTATGAGGTCCTCAGCCGTCGCACCTCGGCCCCTGTGGACCTCTTCTTCTTTTACATCTACATGCGCGACCAGCAACGGTCGGTGGACTACCTGGATTTCTGGCTAGATGTCTCGCAGCACATGGCTCTATGCCGTCACTATGTTCGCGAACTCCGTCGGACCAACCTGGTAGCCACTCCGGAACTGGAAAAGGCCGGAAGTAAGCGTTCGTCTGCGGTGCTGGAGAACATTCCGGACTTCGCAGGCCCGTCGACGGAGAAGGACAAGACGCCGGAACAGCGTCTGTCGGCCTTCTTGCGATCGGAGGACGTCACGAGGCACCACTCCCCGCAGAACAGCGTCGACACCGCCAACTCGACGCCGGGAGAGATGCCGCGCCCGAGTTTCATGAACTCCGACAACAGCTCGCCGATGCACGACACGTCGCCCGCGCAGGCGTCTGTCTCTCCTGGCCACACCGTTACGCGCACGGACATCCGCGCCTCGGCTGAGAAGATCCTGTACACCTATCTTCTTCCGGGCTCAGAGCGCGAGATCATTCTGCCGCAGGGCATTTTGAATGATATAACTAACAACATCGAGGTCGAGAAGCGCGATGACCCCGAGGTTTTCGACACGGCCAAGGACTACGTCTTCCAGGCCATGGAGCGCGATGCGTTCCCCGGATTCCTGCGCGCCAAGGCCTTTGGCAACCTCGTTCCCCCGAGCATGATGGTGCGCCTGATCATTGGCCTGCTGAGCCTTTTCGGTGGTTTCTGGGCCGCCTTCTGTCTAATCTTCCTGAACTACTCCCGGTCGACCAGGTGTTGGGTAAGACTTGGTTCTTTATGTTCACTCCAAAGTACGATAGACTGACACGACTTAGTTAATTCTCCCCTTCACCATTGGTGTCTACGCGCTTGCGACCCACCAGTACATGCTGGACCCGTTCCTTGTGTTCGCTAGCAAGAGTGAGACGACCTTCGGAAACTTCGGTAGGATCCGCGAGCCCTTCGTCAAGAAGCTGCTCATGAAGCGCGCCATCATGGTCCTGCTGAACACGATCCTCGCCGACGCCGCACTGTGCTGTCTCTTCATCTTCGTTCCCGGCAAGCGTCTGTGAGCGCGTCTCCTCTCGGTGCTGGGTAGGCCTGACATTGCCTCTCACCCGGCACCCTTTTCGTTTCTTTTAACCCTCTGGGCTCTTGGTCGACACCCCAGCTGCATCACTACGAACTGGATTCACGGGCCTTTCTTCTCGTTACCGGAGTGGCTTCGCTTCTTTGCGCCGGGTACCTTATTGGTCTTTCAGCACCTCCCTTAGCGTTCACGAGGGAGTACCCGCGGCGCTAGCCTTGCGCACCCGGCACCCGGCCCACGATGCTTCTCGACCTTTACACACATTTCCTCTTTCCCGGCCCACGGAGGCGGCAGGCCGTCTCGCTCGTCTACCTCCCCGCAACCCAACCCGACCGCCTCGCGAGATTACCGGCGTTTTGTACTATATACCCTTTTTAGTTTTTTTTTTTTTTTTTTTTTTTTTTTTT